AGAGACTCTTGGGAGGCTCTTGAGAGGATGCTGAGAGGATCGCCAAGCTTTGCTTCAGAGGGACAACGTCCGCGGCGACACCGACAGCGAGCCCTGATCAAGATGCGCAAGAACTGCTAGCGGTCTTCGCCCCAATTCTTTCCATCGCCGTACGGTAGTTTCGCGCGGCGTCGGTGCGCACAAAGGTTTTGGACACCGCGTCGATCGTTCAACTTTGAATCGATCGCAGCCCCGATCGTTCAAGGTTGAATTCCGTCGCGTCAACGGCGTTGACGCGTCCCTCGGTGCTTCCGCGTCACAGAATCCAGCCTTGAACGCCTTTGCCAGCGTCTCCAGCGGCGCACAAACGCCGCGTGAACCTACCGTACCCATCTCGATCGTTCCGACCCCTCCTCGGGGCGCCTCACGCCACGCTCGCGGCCCGGCACAGGCAGAGGCGGGCCCCGAACCAGGCCGCGCCGTTGGAGAAGACGCACCGCAGCAAGCCGGCCTGCACCGCGCCCGGGATTCGGTTGCAGGAGGAATGGCGACCCCCCCGTTCCCTTCCTCCTCCTCCTCCTCCTCCTCCTCCTCCTCCTCCTCCTCCTCCTCCTCCTCCTCCTCTTCCTCCTCCTCCTCCTCCTCCTCCCATACTCCTTCCTCGTTCTTCCGTCCTCCTCCTACCATACCCCCTCCCTCCTCGGAATCAAAATGAGATCATTACTATTGTGTCTCCTCCTCCTCCTCCTCCTCCTCCTCCTCCTCCTCCTCCTCCTCCTCCTCACTACCACCAGCACCAGCCATCATCATCACCACCACTACCATCCTCACAATCGTCGTCGTCAAAATCATCATCATCATCATCATCATCATCATCATCATCATCATCATCATCATCATCATCATCATCATCATCTGCAGCAGCAGCAGCAGCATCAGCATCACTATCAGCATCATCATTAAATTATCATCGCCATCATCATATCATCATCATCATCATCATCATCATCATCATCATCATCATCATCATCATCATCATCATCATCATCATCATCATCATCATCATCATCATCATCATCATCATCATCAGATTGTCACCATCATCATCAGCATCATCATCATCATCATAATCATCATGAGCAGCATCATCATCATCAACATCGTCATCGGCATGGCCATCATCATCATCATCATCATCATCATCATCATCAGCATCAGCATCATCATCTACCGCCACCACCACCATCATCGTCATTGACATGATCATGATCAACATCATCGTAAATCATCGCCGATCATCATCATCATCCTCACAATCGTCGTCGTCAAAATCATCATCATCATCATGATCATCATCATCATCATCATCATCATCATCATCAGCATCATCATCATCATCAGCATCATCATCGACCACCGCCACCGTCACCACCACTATCATCACCATCGTCTCCTCATCGTCATAGTCATCATCATTCTCATCATCGTCACCATCATTGTCACCACCACCACCAAAAAAACACCATCATCAGCATCATCAGCATCATCATCGTCGTCCCCATCGTCATCATCATCATCACCATGATCATCATCATCCTCGTCGTCATAATCACCACCACCACCATCACCACCACCATCGTCATCATCATCGTCGTCATGATCACCGCCATCATCATCATCATCACCACCATCATCATCATCATCATCATCACCACCACCACCATCATCATCATCATCATCATCATCATCATCATCATCATCATCATCCTTTTCCTCCTCCTCCTGCTCCTCCTCTTCCTCCACCTCCCCCTTCTCCTCCTCCTCCTCCATGATTTTCCCTTATACATAACTCCTCCGTGTCGCACCCCGAAGCCAGTCGGAAGGGCGGGCTGGGCGTTTGGCCTGAGAAGTCTTCACACTTTACGTCCCTGAAGCTTCAATATAAGTAGCAATTTTACAAATGGAGGGCGGGCGGTCTTCAAAAAAGTGGTGTTCGCCTTAGCGCCGCGCACATTCCTTTTTCCCAACCCTCCTTGGTTGGGTATTCGTTTTGAATAGAGCAGTGTGGTCTCCACTCCTTCCTTCCTCCTCCTCCTCCCTCCCTGCCTCGTCCTGTCTTGCCTGCGGGGGGCTGCGATCTGTGAAACTGTCGCCATTGTCGAGGCCTGCTGGGGGGCCCAGCACAGTGAGGGCGACGCGCAGATTCAAATTAGACCTCGCCATCCCTGGGGGGCTGCGATCTGTGAAACTGTCGCCATTTTCGATGCCTGCTGGGGGGCCCAGCACAGTGAGGGCGACGCGCAGATTCGAATGAGACCTCGCCATCCCTGGGGGGGCTGCGATCTGTGAAACTGTCGCCATGTTCGCAGCCTGCTGGGGGGCTCAGCACAGTGAGGGCGACGCGCAGATTCAAAAGAGACCTCGCCATCCCTGAGGGGCTGCGATCTGTGAAACTGTCGCCATTTTCGAAGCCTGCTGGGGGGCCCAGCACAGTGAGGGCCACACGCAGATTCATATTAGACCTCGCCATAGCTGGGGGGGTGCGATCTGTGAAACTGTCGACATGTTCGCGGCCTGCTGGGGGGGGGCCAGCACAGTGAGGGCGACGCGCAGATTCAAATTAGACCTCGCCATCCATGGGGGGGCTGCGATCTGTGAAAGTGTCGCCATTTTCGAAGCCTGCTGGGGGGCCCAGCACAGTGAGGGCGACGCGCAGATTCAAATTAGACCTCGCCATCCCTGGGGGGCTGCGATCTGTGAAACTGTCGCATTTTCGAGGCCTGCTGGGGGGCCCAGCACAGTGAGGGCGACGCGCAGATTCAAATGAGACCTCGCCATCCCTGGGGGGCTGCGATCTGTGAAATTGTCGCCATGTTCGATGCCTGCTGGGGGGCCCAGCACAGTGAGGGCGACGCGCAGATTCAAACTAGACCTCGCCATCCCTGGGGGGCTGCGATCTGCGAAACTGCCGCCATTCTCGATGCCTGCTGGGGGGGCCCAGCACAGTGACGGCCACGGGCAGATTCAAATGAGACCTCGCCATCCCTGAGGGGGCTGCGATATGTGAAACTGTCGATATTTTCGAGGCCTGCTGGGGGGCCCAGCACAGTGAGGCCACGGGCAGATAGAATCGAGACCTCGCCATCCCTGGGGGGGGTGCGATCTGTGAAACTGTCGCCATTTTCGAGGCCTGCTGGGGGGCCCAGCGCAGTGAGGGCCACGGGCAGATTCAAATGAGACCTCGCCATCCCTGAGGGGGCTGCGATCTGTGAAACTGTCGCCATCTTCGAGGCCTGCTGGGGAGCCCAGCACAGTGACGCCACGGGCAGATTCAAATGAGACCTCGCCATCCCTGGAGGGGCTGCGATCTGTGAAACTGTCACCATTTTCGAGGCCTGCTGGGGGGCCCTGCACAGTTACGCCACGGGCATATTCAAACGAGACCTCGCCATCCTTTGGGGGCTGCGATCTGCGAAACTGTCGCCACTTTCGAGGCCTGCTGGGGGGCCCAGCGCAGCGACGCCACGGGCAGATTCAAATGAGACCTCGCCATCCCCTGGAGGCTGCGATCTGTGAAACTATCGCCACTTTCGAGGCCTGCTGGGGGGCCCAGCACAGTGAGGGCGACGCGCAGATTCAAATTAGACCTCGCCATCCCTGCGGGGCTGCGATCTGTGAAACTGTCGCCACTTTCGAGGCCTGCTGTGATCCCCGTTTTCGAAGTGGCTAGGAGTGCTCAAGAATTGTAACTCATCAGCTTTATCAAGCCCTTTTCCTGTAGCCAGTGTCCTGCGAGTCTCCCGAATTCCGTCTGCAGACATATGTAACCCTCGCTCCGTCATCGCCCCCTTTTATAAAGTATCCTAAACTATTTGCGCCCCGCTTTTGCGCAGGGGTTGGGTACGTCGCCAGGGCAATTTTCACAAAATGCGCATAAGTTTCACGGGTTGAAGGCGGGTGGCTTTCAAAATGTGGTTTTCGCTTTAGCGCCGGGCACATTAGTTTCGCAAATGTGCCAGGGCTTCACGGATTGAGCGCGGATCGTTTTCAAGATCTGGCTCTCGCCTTAGCGCTGCGCCCACTCGTTTAAACATTTGCAAAGGCTTCACGGACTGAGGGCGGGTCGTTTTCAAAATCTGGCTCTCGCCTCTGCGCCGCGCACTCTCGTTCGAAAAACCGTCAGGGCTTCACGGATTGAAGGCGGTTATGCACGCGCTCCCCTACCCCCATCGCGGAGAGAGGGGGAAGGAGGGCTGCTCTTTTTCTTGAGCAACACAGGGCTGCAGGATTTCGGGTCATCGCCGAAACAGTCTGAATATATTCGTATATTTTGAGACCGTCATATACCTTAGTAAAACTACACACTTCCCAACACCTCTCCTTGGGCGCAGGGAAGCGGCTGGGCCTCCAGCCAGGAAGCGCGAGCAGGGTACCAGCTTCGCGGTCTCTTCCGCGGGCCTTTCGCGTGCCTTTCGCGGGCATCCCGCGGGGCTCCCCGCAGGCCCTCAGCCCGTGCGCGGGGCGGCCCGCCGTGGGCAGGCGCAGTGCTTCCTGCGACCATCCGTCTAGCTCTCTGGGTGGATCAGCTGACAGCCATCGGGGCGATCTCGACACTCGCTCATGAACGTCTCGATCCAATGCTGCGCGGCCTCAGGGCCAGTCAAGTCCTGAAGGTTGATCCTGATCAGGGGTCCGCGCATCGTAGCCGTCACTCTCAGCTGCTCGATATCCTTGGCCTGGCGATCCGACAGGACCTTGCCCTTGTTGATTCCCGGATAGCTGCTTGCAGCAGAAGGGGTTGAGAGAAGAAACCGGGAAGTGGTCAGTGAGGGCCCAACTCCCGAGCTCGCCGGTCCAGAATCGCCGCAGGAGCTTGCTTGATCCTCCAGCGTGTCCGGGAGCGTGGTTTCCTAGCGTTTCCCAATACGCGTGGTTCCACGGTGCGCGAAGCGCTTCGGCAGAGCTACGCAAAGCGTCGTTTTCCCAGATAGCTGCTTGCAGCAGAAAGGCTTGAGAGAAGAAGCCGGAAGGTGGTGAGTGGGGGGGGCCCCACTCCCACGCTCGCCGGTCCAGAATCGCCGCAGAGATCTGCTTGAGTTCCCAGCGTGTCCGGGAGCGTGGCTTCCTAGCGTTTCCCAACCAATACGCGTGGCTCCAGGGTGCGCGAAGCGCTTCCGCAGAGCTCCGCCAGCGTCGTGTCCAAGTTCCCCGGAGCGTCGTTTCCAAGCTCTCCGAAGCGTCGTTTTCCCGGATAGCCCCCTAGTTGGGCTACATAAGGTTGTTAGAGAAGAAGCCGGCGCGTGCGCGTGTAGCGCCGCACTCCCACGCGCGGTTGTCCACGCTCGCCGCAGCGGTTTGCTCGCGCTCGCTCGCCTTCTTAGCCTTGAGCTTGCTCGCAGGCTTGGCCTTGAACTTGCTCGAAGGCTGGAGTCGAACCCTGCTTACGACCTCCTTGCCAGGGCGCGGGTCCTCCCGCAGCTCTGGCCAGCAAGGGGCATTCCGTCTGCTAGCAGCGCGGATCGTCTCGCAGCTGTTTCCGCGGCCCTTCCGCCGCTGGACCCGCGGCGCGCCGCCGCTGGGCCTCCTCGAGAGGCTCCTGGAGCTCGCCAGGTGCGGAGCTGGCCCGCGAACCTCAAGCGAGCTCAGCTACCACGCACGCGCTCCCCTACCCCCGTCGCGGAGAGAGGGGGAAGGAGAGCTGCTCTTTTCCTTGAGCAACAAAGGGCTGCATGATTTCGGGTCATCGCCCAAACAGTCTGATTATATTTTGATATGATCATATAGCTTAGTAAGACTACAAACTTTCTGGCAGGTTCTTTTTTATAGAAAATGGACCTCGCCTACGCGCCGCGCAGATTCGTTTCAAAAACTATACAACCAATCACGGATTCCAAGGGGTTATCGTACCAGAAACGGCGTTTAGGAAAGATTCCTGACTGTCAGCGCGTAACAGTTACAATGGCTCGCGGTGGTATAATCCCAGGAACGGCATTCTGGCACAACTCAGGTACGTCAAAACGCAACGGTCAGCTTGATTCGCGGCATTGGAGTCCCGAAAATAATGTTCTGGCATATTTCAAGATCTTCAAAAGGTTCTCTCCCAACGGAAAGCCATCCGTGGAAGTAAACCCTTGTAGAGGCCTATGAAGATGGGAGCCAGGAGGGGGGGTTATTCGAACAGCGTTGATGAGCTGAGGGTTTACACTGGTCCTCCTCCTCCTTCTCCTCCTCCTCCTCCTCCTACTCCTCCTCCTCCTCCTCCTCCTCATCTTCCCTCCTCCACCTACTCCTCCTCCTTCTCCTCCTCCTCCTACTACTAATCCTACGCCAATTCCTACTCCTACTCCTACTCCTCCCTCCTCCTTCTCCTCCTCCTCCTCCTCCTACTACTACTACTACTACTACTACTACTACTACTGCTACTACTACTACTACTACTACTGCTACTACTACTAGTAATACTAGTAATACTACTACTACTACTACTACTACTACTACTACTACGACTACTACTACTACTACTACTACTGCTGATGCTGCTGCTTACGACTACTACTATTACTACGATTAACTAATACTACTACTACTACTACTACTACTACTACTACTACTACTACTACTACTACTAGTACTACAAGTACTACGACTACTACTACTACTACTACTACTACTACTACTACTACTACTACTAATACTACTACTACTACTACTACTACTACTACTACTACTACTACTACTACTACTTCTAGTACTAGTACTAGTACTGCTACTGCTACTGCTACTGCTACTACTACTACTACTACTACTACTACTACTACTCATCCCTCCGCCTCCTCCTTTCCCTTTCTCGTCGTCTGAGGCTTCGTCTTGTCGTCCCCGCTTGACCTCCTCCTCGTCTTAAGACGCAGCGATTCACCGACTCATTCAAGGGTCCCAGAGTGCCGACAGTACCAAGTCCGCGAGTCGTCGCCCAGGGAACCTGTAATTTTAGTGGTTGCGCTTTTCAGGATAACACTGCTGCCTTTTAACTCCATGATTTTGTTGGCTTGCCTGCGGTTCAACAGAGTGGATCGTGGCCGCCGTCCTTTTTGTCAGGGCTAGGGTGTGTGACCTCGACACTGGGAGCCCCCCCACCGTGCGCATGCACCGCTACAGATAGCGCACTCGTGGTCCTTGTGCTGTGCCGCTGCTCTCTCTCGGGCTTCACGCATGCAGACACGTGGATCAGTCGAGCACCGCCGCCGCCTCCTCCCTCATCTTTCGCCTCCTCCTCATCATCATCCTCCTCCTCCTCCTTCCCTCCTCCTCCTCCTCCTCCTCCTCATCTTCCTCCTCCTCCATCTACCTCCTGCTCCTCCTCCTCCTCTTCTTCTTCCTCCTCCTCCTCCGCCTCCTCCTCCTCTTCCCCCGTAGCCATTTTGGCCCAAACAATGTTGGTTCCAGACCTCAAAATCGAACTAGAACCACGCGCGCGCTTCGCGCGCGCTTAGGTTCTAGTCGATTCCGAAGACGGTGTCTATTCTCATGAGACCTTTTCCATGTGGTCTTCCGGGTTCCTCCCTTTCACCCATGCGTGATTTTCGGGCGGATACGGCGAAATTCAAGGAAGGGTTTGGCCTGTAGCGTACCAGCGACGACCGACGACGACGACGACGACGACGACGACGACGACGACGGACCACCGACGATCAGCATCATTGTCACCTGGTCCACGTGTGCGGGAGAGGCGTTTCCGGAGCGTCTTGCAGGCGTCATGGAGGCGTCCTCGGGCCTCGACATTGGGTGGGCGAGTCGGGGGGTACAGCCAAGGCCACGTGTTCCGAATGGCTGTTCCAGAGCATGTAGGACGAAGGGCTTCTGGCGGGCTTCTGAGGGTCTGTGTAGGAGGCCTTCTGCGAGCTCGGTGGGTGTTTCTCGGGAGCTTCTCGGGTCTTTCTGGAGCCCTTTGGGGGGCTTCTTGGGGCGTCGTGGAGGCCTCCTGGGAGTCTCTTGGGGCCTCCTGGGTGCCACTTGAGGGAGAGGGCGCCTCTGTTCGGGCATTTGGAGGGATCTCTGGAGCCTCCTGGGAACATCTTGGGCCAGCTTGGGATCTTCTGGGGGGGTCCGGGGCCCCGTGTGAACCCTCTTGGAGCCCTCAAAGCCCCCCCGGCGCCTCATGCGAACCAGAGGTCTCAGTTCTGGGCCCATCCCGCCACCGTGTCTGGGTTGTGGGTTAGAGGCTTCTCGGATGTTCGCTGGGATGATATCGTGGGATGCCTCTCGAGGGGCCTTTTGGAAGCAGGTTTGAAGCCTCCACGGGGGCGTTGTGGAGCTTGTCGGACCTCTCTCAGGCATCTTTGGGGCCTCTTTGGAGCCTCTTGGAGCCACTTAGGGGCCTCTTGGGGCCTCCTGGGGGCCTCTGGGGGCGGGAAGCTCGAAAGGTCGGTTCGCGTTCCCTCTCGTGGGCCCATCTTCGAGCCGTCTTCAGGCCCTCTTCAGGCCCTCTTGGGCCGTCTTGGGGGTCTCTTGGGCCGATCATGCGGCCCTCTTGGGCCGTCTTGGGGGACTCTTGGGGGCCTCTTGGGGCGAGTTTGGAGGCTTCTTGGGTAGTCTTGGAGCGTCGGCCGCTCGCAAACGTAAAAGCAACAAATATTGGAAAACAATATGAAAATCAATAATTTGGGCGTCTTGGGGCTCTCTTGGAGGTGCTCGCGGAGCGACCTTGGGGCCTCTTGGGGGCCTCTTGGGCCGATCATGGGGCCATCTTGGGCGGCTTGGAGCGCTCTTGGGCCGTCTTGGCGGCGTCTTGCCGTCTCCCGAAGCCTAGATGGACGCCTCGGAGAAGCGGAAAAAGCTCCGCGACTCCGAAAACGGGCCCCTGGATGCTAAAAATGGCCCCCGCAGCCCAGGGGACAGATTCGGTTACGGGGGGGGGGGGAGTCTGGGAAAAGTGTGCGACCCCGGGCTGCGGGGCCCCGGACGCCGCTCATGTTATATGCGTTCGGATTCGGGCGTAATGGAAGAGGGGAGCGCGTGCCGTCCAGCTTCAAGGACCTACTACTAGACCGGAAGGGTAGCCACCAGCTTGATGAACTGGCCAGAAGAGAAGGGTACCACAACTTCAGGTGCGAGCTGAAAGACTGGGAACGGCATCGGCCCTCCAGAACACGGGCTGGGTACAGGGCAAGAGCAAGGGGCATTCGCCTGGATGCGCTTGCTGCCTGGACGCATGCTCTGGTGTTCCGTGATACCCCTGCCTTCCTGACTCTTCTTCAGCCTGGCCAGAGCGGTTGCGCACGTCGACCCTCTTCCCCCGCCCCCTTCCTTGAGACAAGGTATCGGCTCTGGAGACAGCGATCTTTAAGGTGAGCTTGATGTGGGACCCTCAACCCTCCTCCTCGTCCTTCACCCCGGGGACCAGGGAGGATTGACAACTCGGATCCAGCAGCCTCCAGCGCGGGGCCGATAAGGACTGATCCTCGCCCTCGCTGGCAGGGTGAAGTCTAGAAGGCTTGCCAATCGAAGCGCAGTCCACATGCAAGCAGCCCTATCTTCTTCCACATGAATATGTCCTCCTTCCTCATTCCTCCTCCCCTGAGGACCCACGGTGGTCATCCTCCTCCTCCTCCTCCTCCTCCTCCTCATCATCATCATCATCATCATCATCATCATCATCATCATCATCATCATCAGCATCATCATCATCATCATCATCATCATCATCATCATCATCATCATCATCATCATCATCATCATGATCATGATCATCATCATCATCATCATCATCAGCATCATCATCATCATCATCATCATCATCATCATCATCATCATCATCATCATGATCATCGTCATCCTCCTCCTCCTCCTCATCATCATCATCATCATCATCATCATCCTTTGCCTTTTCCTCCTCCTCCTCATCATCATCATCCTCCTCCTCCTCCTCCAGCTCAGTCCGACGCGCCTCTGGGGCCGCGTACTCGCCCGAGATCACGCCCGCGCTGCTCCGCAGGGGCTGTCCAGGGCCGCTGCAGCTCACGACCTCCACGATGGCGACCGCGACGGCGACGGCGACGACGACGACGACGACGGCGAGGACGGCGACCGCGGCAACCACACGACGACGACGACGATGACGACGACGACGACGATGACGACGACCATCGGAGGAGGGCCAGGTGAGACAACGGCGGCCCTCCCTGGGGTGCCTTAACTTTCCTGTTCCTCCTGGAGGTTTCTCGCCGCCGCGCGGCTGGATCCGCCTCCAGGCACGGGCCAGGATGGACCCCAGGAGGCGCCCGGACAACGTCTCTGAGCAGGTCTCGGCCAGGCGCGAGGAGGAGGAGGGAGGAGGAGGAGGAGGAGGAGGAGGAGGAGGAGAAGGAGGAGGAGGAGAAGGAGGGAGGAGGGAGGAGGGAGGAGGAGGAGGAGGAGGGAGGAGGGAGGGAGGAGGGAGGAGGAGGAGGAGGAGGAGGAGGAGGAGGAGGAGGAGGAGGGAGGAGGAGGGAGGGAGGAGGGAGGAGGGGAGGAGGGAGGAGGAGGAGGAGGAGGAAGAGGAGGAGGAGGGAAGGGAACGGGGGCGGGGTCGGCATTCCTCCTGCAACCGAATCCCGGGCGCGGTGCAAAGCGACAGAGTGCGCGCGCGCGGGCGTGTTACCACGGAGGGGGAGGAGAAGGGCGAGGAGGGGGGAATGGGAAGCAGGGTCAGCAGGAAGGGGGAGGGGGAGGAGGGGGAGGAGGAGGGATGAGGAGGAGGAGGAGGAGGAGGAGGAGGAGGACCAGTGTGACCCAAGAGTCATCAACGATGTTGGAATAAACTCTCCCTTGAAGCTCCCTCTTCATAGGCCCCTACAACAATTCATTTCCACTGAGGGAACTGCCTCTTGGAAGACAACCGTTTGAAGACCCTGAAGCATGCTAAAACATTGTTCTCGGGATTCCAACGCCATGGATCGACCTGACTGTTGCGTCTTGACGATCCTGAATCGTGCCAGGACGCCGTTCCTAGGACTTCAACACCGCGAACCAACGTAACTGCTGCACCCTCATAATCCTGAGCTCTTCCAAAACACCATTTCTGGTACGCTGGCCATGGAAATCTGTGAAACCCGTGAAAGTTTTGAAACGAAGGTGCGCGGCGCTACGGCGAGAGCAGCATTTTGAAAATAACGCGCCCTCAACCCGTGAAACTCTTACAATCTGCGTAATCGAATGTGCGCGGCGCTACGGCGAGAGCCACATTTTGAAAACCGCCCTCAATCCGTGAAACTCTTGCCATATGTTTGAACGAATGCGCGCGGCGCTAAGGCGGGAGCCACATGTTGAAAACCACCCGCCCTCAGTCCGTGAAACTCTTGCAGTTTAAACGAATGTGCGGAGCGCTAAGGCGAGAGCCACATTTTGAAAACGGCCCGCCCTCCATCTGTGAAACTGTTGCCAATGTTTTAGCTTGAGAATCATAAATGGTGAGGCAGTCTGAGGCCTCGAGGTGTGACAGGGAGAAGTTACTTACAAGGAAAAGGAATGAAGGAGGAGGAGGAGGAGGAGGAGGAGATGGAGGAGGAGGAGGAGGAGGAGGAGAGGAGGAGGGGGGGGAGAATTAGGAGGAGGGAGAGGAGGAGGAGAGCTGGAGTTGGTTGTGGCAGTGGTGGTGGTGGTGGTGGAGGGCCGCCGCTGCCTCGACTGGCCCTCCCTCGAGACCGCGACGACGACCACGACGGCGGCGGCGCCGACAACGGCCGGCACCACGGAGGGGCTGGGCGAGGGCGCGGGGGGCAGCGCGATCTTACGGGGGTGGCAAAAAGGAAGGCGGACGAGGAGGCTCCTCCTCCTCCTCCTCCTCCTCCTCCCCCTCCTCCTCCTCCTCCTCCTCAGCAGCAGCAGCAGCAGCAGCAGCATCATCATCATCATCATCATCATCATCATCATCATCATCATCATCATCATCATCATCATCATCATCATTATCATCGTCGTCGTCATCATCATCATCATCATCAGCATCATCATCATCATCATCATCATCATCATCATCCTCATCCTCATCCTCATCCTCATCCTCATCCTTTGCCTTTTCCTCCTCCTCCTCCTCCTTCGCCTCCTCCTCCTCCTCCTCAGCAGCAGCAGCATCGTATCAGCATCATCCCCAATGAGCACCTCAAGGACTCGCCACTGTCCAGGGTCAGCTCTGCAGCATCCAGCGGCCTGGCAAGAAGAGGTTCCCCCCTGCGGTCTCGCGGAGGAGGCCAAGCGAGAATGAAAAGCTCGTGAAACACACATACATGCGGCTCGACTGCCGAGACAAGAACGTATGGACTTGACCCAAAAAATATTGACACCTACCTCTTGGGAGTGCATTCAGCCAGCTTCCGGCAGCCTTCAGCCAGCTTCCGCCGGCACAACCGCCCCCGTTTCACCTCCGTCGGCTTCCGCCGCCCTTCCGCCGGCTTCCGCCGAGGAAGAGATTTCTATTTCTCGTTCCCTCGAAGGCGAAGCCTCTTCTGGAACACCCCAGATAAGCCAGAGCGTACGCAAAAGCAGCTTCAAGGCCCATTGCCCTTTTGGAGAAGCCTCCCAGGCGGATACACGGAGTGGTCTGATGCTTCGCGCACCACACCCCGCTACGACTAGAAGACTCACCGCAGGTGGATGCAGTGTGGCCTGGTTCATCAGCATCGAGCTTGCGAGCGACGCCACGCGCCACACCCATACCTGCTGTCCATATGGAAGCCTCCTGCATCACGGAGCCGTCATAGCCAAAGTCTCCACTCCAGCAGGGATCACAGATTGGCGCCTCCTGGCGCAACGCCCATGCCCAACCTGTGCGAGGAGCCGTCGCGCACGCGGGCCCGAAGAGCGTCACTGAGCTCCCAAGGCGATCCGATGAGTTGTCGCCCACGGGCGGCGCTCGTGCGACGGGCACTGGAGACTGGATGCAGCCGACAGCACGCAGTGCGGGCCAGGAACCGGCCCCCGGGCGACAGGGCCCCAAACGTGCGCCAAAAACCTTCTCCAGCTGGGCGCTCGCTGCGCTCGTGAGCGTCAGCGAGGACAGCCGACCCCCGTCCCTGCTGGCATGGCCTTGGCCGCACTGGCCGACTTCTCCCCCCGGGTGGGGATGCAGTAGGAGCTCGACCACAAGAAATTCTCCCACAAGACACCCGGCCCCGAGACCCCAGGGCGCCCCTGGATTCTCGGTGTGGGAACGTCACGCTTCCCATCGCAAAACCATCGAAACCCAAGAAACCCAGGGTACCTGGAGGCTAGCAGGGCGTCTCTTGGCATGGGTCTCCACTGCAGCGGGATCTGCCGCTCGCTCCGGGCTTCGAGGGGCCCGGCGCGGAGCGCGCCAGGGGAGGCGACCGGCGGCGCCGCCAGGTGGGCCCAGCGCCGATCCAGACGATCCGAGGGGAACTCCCAGTGTTTCTGCTAGCGCCAGCACCCCTCCCGCAGCCAGGCGCCCAGGCTCTGCAGCCGCCCCCGGCCCACCCTGGCAGGAGGAGCGGCGACGAGACGCAGCAACGAGTGAAGAGGGGGCGGGGCGGACGAGATGAGCGGCCCCTCCCTGGGGATGCCACCCAAGAGAATACCGATACCGCTACTCCCCGGACCTCTCCCAGCGGCCCGGAGTACGATCTTGACCCAAGTATCGAAGCGGATCCAGCGGCGGCGACGAGGGCCTTCAAGGAGGCCCAGGAGAGGGAAAACGGGGGGAAGGGCAGAGGCATGGGTACCCGTTCCTCCTCCGAGCGACGGCGCGCGCGGCAGAGCAGCGAGGAAGAGGGACGCGCGGAGTCGAACTGAGCTTCACCGCTGTGGATGCCATGGCAATGGACACCCCAACCATCCGATCATCGAATGAAAAATGTGTTCACAGTGTCAGGGAAATGTTCTAAAATGTTTGCTCCGAGTTTCTTAATAAGCGTCGGGGGGGCGTCACCCGAAAGGCACCGCGCGCCGAAGGCGCTCCGACCCCCGTCGCGGCGCGACGACGGGGCGAGGTTGACCCCCGTCGGGGGGGCACCCCCCACGCTCATCAAGAAACCCGGCGTAAACTACGGGTTTAACGTGTTTAAGACATGCTCAAAAAAAAGGTTGCAGACATCTGGGAAGGATTTGGCAACACGCTTCCCCTCCTCTGGTCGTCGTCCACAACTTCACCGTTGGTGCGCCCGCGCTTCTGGAGGTCCGCGGGCGGCAGCCGGGAGGGCGCACCGAGCCACGGCGGGGGCCACGTGGGCACTCGGAGAGAGAGAGAGAGAGAGAGAGAAAGAGAAAGAGAGAGAGAGAGAGAAAGAGAGAGAGACGGAGAGACGGAGAGAGGGAGAAAGCGAGAGAGAGAGAGAGGGGGGGGAAATATAGAACAAAAGCGAGACGGAGAGAGAGAGAGAGACGGAAAAGAGAGAGAGAGAGAGAAAGACGGAGGGAAGGAGAGAGGGAGAAAGAGAAGAGAATATATAACAACAGAGAGAGAGAGACACACACACACGCGTTTTAAGCCGGCAGCGCCGAGGAACCTCAGGCGTTGTCAGCAGGTGAAGGTGCACACACACACCGACTTCAGGGAAGGCATGAAGATTTTTCTTTATAAAAAAAAACAGGATGCAAGCCCCGACGGGGGCAGTTCAATTGAAAACATATAATGCGCACAGGTGGGAGATCAACAATAAGTATTTTTCAAGAACGAACGCTCAACGACAATAAGAACAACAATAACAATTAGTTTAAGACTGTTCGCCCTTATCTGCTCGAGTGTCCAATAACGCGTATTTCCCAAACCCTCGATACCCGCCCTCTTCGTTTTCGATCGAACTCCTTTTGGGGGGTATACCCTTCTTCCCTGCAGGCCGGGCTTCGGCAAGCGGCGGGGCGGCCGCGGACCGTCGGCTTGGCCAGCGGCAGCGCTGATCGGCGGGGCAGCCGCGGACCGTCGACCCGACCCCAAGAGGGACGGACAGGGGACCGACCACGACGACGACGTCGACGACGTCGACGACGGCGACGGCGACGACGACGACGACGACGACGACGACGGCGACGACG